ATTTGGGTTGAAAGTTCCTGAGTATGGCATATCCCAGGCACCACGACTAGTAACACCTACATTATCAATTGGTTCTCCCTCTATTTTCAATTGTTCCATACCTATATTAAATATTTAATTTACTTTTACAGAATTCAAACAATGGTACAATTTTTATAATAAAAATATACCTGTAGAAAGTAAATCACCAAAAACATAATAACATTGTTCGGAAAAAGTGGTTTTATTTACAGTATGTTTGATGTAACCAGCTTTGAGCATGTGCGATGCATATTTCCTTGCTTCTCTACGATCCTGAAATCCATCGACATGTGTCTCTAACCATTCAACTACATCAACACCTAAAATAAAATATTTTTTTTATTTGGTGAATTGAATTTAGCATACTATAATTTTACAAACCAATGAAAGAGTTAGGAATAACAATTTTGAGCCACATTCTATCCCTRATCTCTAAACCAGAATCAAGCCTAGCCATAGCTCTAACAATACTCAGCATGTCAGTAGTACGTACATCCAATTGAAGGTCTTTGAATGCATTAGCTGAAACAGCATTTACTGTAAAAAAATATGCATACATTTGATYAACCATAAAAGAAAAAAAAATATATTAAACTTTAAGCTTTAACACACTTTCTGTTTCTGCCATGGTTGAAACTAGAGAAGAACTAGTAGACGTAACTGTTGATACAGATGGTGGTCGTAGAGGATAAGTTTCGCCTAAAAATAATTAACCAATGAAATGTATTTAAGACTAAAGAGTATAGTTTAATTATACCTCTCATTGCAGCAGTATGTGCTACCCATGCACCAGGATCAATAGGTCGAACTGGTTCAGTTCGAGGAATAGTAAAATACGATTTTGGATTTGGATCCCAACACTTTGCGACAACTAATTTAATTGGTCTAAATTAAAATATGAATACATAACAAATGTTATTCATATTTGAAACTAGGATAAGTAAAAATCARTAGTATAGATATATTTTTATTTTTATTTACCCAGGTGTTTGCACCACATCCCTTAAGACGCGAACAGCTTGATCATTTGACATATTTTCAAAATTAATATCATTAACTTGTAATATCATATCACCAGGTTCAATTCTACCATCTAAAGCTACTGCACCACTAAAATTAAAATATACATAGTATTATAGTTAAATAATTGATATAATATAGTTTTCATTAATTTTTATATTTTTTAAATGTTATGAGTATTTTTTCAATCTACTATTTAAAATGTACTAAATTCTTAATAGGATAATATTTTTATAATATTACCCTTTCATGATAGATCCAACATAAATGCCACCATCTCCACCATTATTACTTTGCCCGACAATTGATATTCCCAAAAAATTAACAGAATCCATGTTTAAAGTCACAGTAATTATATTCAATGACATGCTGGAATCAGTAACTGATGAAAATGATGACGTACGACACATTCCTCCAGGACCAGCTGGTCTTTGGTGTCTTTTGCGCCGTTGTTGAGTTCGGCGACGACCACTACCTGCTAAACGCTGCCATTCTGTAAGAAAAATAATTATGAAAATAAGATCAAGAATCAAAAGTGAACATTTAAAAAAAATTCTTAGGTCTTGTTCAAAAATGTTTCACTATTCTAAATATAAAATAGTTAATTTAATGCTTTACTTAAAATCAATTTTTATTTCAGAATTTACAGTTTTATAATATTAAATATAACATAATAGTCTATAAATATTTTGAATCAAGTTCAAGATGGTTTATTTTACTATTATTATTATTTTTAATATCTTAGCRTAAACATTAGTTAAAAATTTACAATACTTTGTTTCTGTATATATGTATTTAAAATCCATGTTTGAATTCAAACTCAAATTCTGGGCAAGTAGTTATTAATTAATAAATATTTATATGAAGTTTAGTTTTGATAAGCTTATATGAATAGACTGGTGGAACAACATTTTACAGAGTGTACCAGTATCTTGTATAGTTGTATAATCATAAAATTAATGAAAGAAACTAAAAATGACTATAATTTACCAYTTGAAATGTTAGTAGCTCGTCCTGTTGTTGTTGTAATTCGACTTGAAGCATCATCCTCGTCAGATTCTAAGAAACTAGTAGTTTCTAACTCTGAACTCAGCATCGAAGATGAACCATAAGGTCTGTGTT